CCACATTTGGTTTTTATTGCTACCAGGGCTTCTTTAGAGATTTACCCTCACTTCTTGTCCTGACAATTTAGCTATTTTCCAGTCAGGAAGTGATTAAAAACATTCTAACAACAATGCGTTCAGACATAAATAAGTCTTTCCTTTTTGTGAGGGAAGGCTAGAACCCTGACTGACTTTCATGTGTTACAGATTTTCTCTCATTTCTGTCTGAAAAACCATTGTCAGCAGTGAGGGGAAATATTTAGAGTGGAGCACCAAATAGCAGTAAAACCAGACAGGAGTTCCAGTCCTCTCCCACTCCATACACAATTATACAAAATGTTTTTGGCTTCACATAAACTGAAAATATATATTTTTTTCTTTTAGTTCAACAAGCAACATTTGCAGAACCACGGTCTGTGCGAGAAAATGTGAATGTGTTTTGTATTACCCTTCCATCAGGTACGTCACATCTACATATCATTTTGGATGGAAGGAAGACATGCATAGCCATTTTATATTATAGTGTATGAAAGTAATTGAACCAACCAATATTCCTGAACATGATAACAGTTTTGTAGATTGTATACTCCATATTGGCAGGACTCTGATCTCATTTTCTACTTTACATATGTTCTGGTATACAGCTGAATGTAGTTAATGTTGGAAACATTTCTTATGCATATATATAATATATGTTATGTGTATGTGTGTATATATACAGGTGAAACTCGAAAAAAATTAGAATATCGTGCAAAAGTTAATTTATTTAGTGCAGCAACTTAAAAGGTGAAAACTAATATACAGTGAGGAACAGAAGTATTTGAACCCCCTGCGATTTTGCAGGTTCTCCCACTTAGAAATCATGGAGGGGTCTGACATTCACATTGTAGGTGCATTCCCACTCAGAGACAGAATTAAAAAAAAAAATCAGGAAATCCCATTGTATGATTTGTAAAGAATGTATTTGTCTCTCACTGCTGAACAGAAGTATTTGAACCCCTGAGAAAATCAGTGTTAATATTTGGTACAGAAGCCTTTGTTTGCAATTACAGAGGTCAGAACGTTTCCTGTAGTTTCCTGACCAGGTTTGCACTGCAACAGGGATTTTGGCTCCTCCTCCACACCAATCTCCTCTAGATCTGTCAGGTTTCGGGGCTGTCACTGAGCAACACGGAGTTTCAGCTCCCTCCAAAGATGTTCTATTGGATTCAGGTCTGGAGACTGGCTAGGCCACTCCAGAACCTTGATATGCTTCTTACGGAGCCACTCCTTGGTTATCCTGGCTGTGTGCTTCGGGTCGTTGTCATGTTGGAAGACCCAGCCATGACCCATCTTCAATGCTCTGACTGAGGGAAGGAGGTTGTTGCTCAAAATCTCACAATAAATGGCCCCATTCATCCTCTCCTTAATACAGTGCAGTCGTTGTGTCCCCTTCACAGAAAAGCACCCCCAAAGCAATGATGTTACCACCCCCATGCTTCACAGTAGGGATGGTGTTCTTGGGATGCAACTCATCCTTCTTTTTCCTCCAAACATGGCGAGTGAAGTTTAGACCAAAATGTTCTACTTTGGTCTCATCTGACCACATGACTTTCTCCCATGCCTCCTCTGGATCATCCAGATGGTCATTGGCAAACTTCAGACTGGCCTGGACATGTGATGACTTGAGCAGGGGAACCTTCCGTGCAATGCATGATTTGAAACCATGACGGCGTAGTGTTCTACCGACAGTGACTTTTGAAACTGTGGTCCCCAGCTCTCTTCATATCATTGACTAGCTCCTCCCTTGTAGTTCTGGGCTGATTCCTCACCTTTCTTATCATCAGTGATACCCCACGAGGTGAGATCTTGTATGGAGCCCAAATCCGAGGGAGACTAACAGTCGTCTTTTAGCCTCTTCCATTTTCTAACAATTGCTCCAACAGTTGATCTATTTTCACCAAGCTGCTTGGCAATTGCCCTGTAGCCATTTCCAGCCTTGTGGAGGTCCACAATTTTGTCTCTGGTGTCTTTTGACAGCTCTTTAGTCTTGCCCATGGTAGTAGTTGGCATCTGACTGACTCTGGGGTGGACAGGTGTCTTTAAAGAGCTCAGACAGGTGCTACTAAGTTAGATTAATGAGTGGAGTAGATGTGGACTTTTTAAAGGCACAGTAACAGGTCTTTGAGAGCCAGAATTCTTGCTGTTTCTTAGGTGTTCAAATACTTATGTTCAGCAGTGCAAGACAAATACATTCTTTAAAAAATCATACAATGTGATTTGTTGAATTTTTTTTTAATTCTGTCTCTCAGAGTGGGAATGCACCTACAATGTGAATGTCAGACCCCTCCATGATTTCTAAGTGGGAGAACCTGCAAAATCGCAGGGTGTTCAAATACTTCTGTTCCCCACTGTATGAGATAGACTCATTACATGCAAAGCAAGATAGTTCAAGCCGTGATTTGTCATCATTGTGGTGATTATGGCTTACAGCTCATGAAAACCCCAAATCCACAATCTCAGAAAATGAGAATATTCCATGCAATCAATAAACAAGGATTGTACATAGAACAATATCGGACCTCTGAAAAGTAGAAGCATGCATATGTACTCAGTACTTGGTTTGGGCCCCTTTTACAGCAATTACTGCCTCAATGCGGCGTGGCATGGAAGCTATCAGCCTGTGGCACTGCTGAGGTGTTATGGAAGACCAGGATGCTTCAATAGCGGCCTTCAGCTCTTCTGCATTGTTCGGTCTCATGTCTCTCATCTTTCTCTTGGCAATGCCCCATAGATTCTCTATGGGGTTCAGGTCAGGCGAGTTTTCTGGCCAATCAAGCACAGTAATCCCACGGTCATTGAACCAGGTTTTGGTGCTTTTGGCGGTGTGGGCAGGTGCCAAGTCCTGCTGGAAAATGAAGTCAGCATCCCCATAAAGCTTGTCTGCGGAAGGAAGCATGAAGTGCTCCAGAATCTCCTGGTAGACGGCTGCGTTGACCCTGGACTTAATGAAGCACAGTGGACCAACACCAGCAGATGACATGGCTCCCCAAATCAACACAGACTGGAAACGTCACACTGGACTTCACGCATCTTTCAGTGTGTGCCTCTCCATTCTTCCTCCATACTCTGGGTCCTTGGGCCTCTCCACTCTTCCTCCATACTCGGGGTCCTTGTGGGGGGGGGCCTCTCCATTCTTCCTCCATACTCTGGGTCCTTGGGCCTCTCCATTCTTCCTCCATACTCGGGGTCCTTGTGCCTCTCCATTCTTCCTCCATACTCGGGGTCCTTGGGCCCCTCCATTCTTCTTCCATACTCGGGGTCCTTGGGCCTCTCCATTCTTCCTCCATACTCTGGGTCCTTGGGCCTCTCCATTCTTCCTCCATACTCGGGGTCCTTGTTTCTCTCCATTATTCCTCCATACTCGGGGTCCTTGGGCCTCTCCATTCTTCCTCCATACTCGGGGTCCTTGGGCCTCTCCATTCTTCCTCCATACTCGGGGTCCTTGTGCCTCTCCATTCTTCTTCCATACTTGGGGTCCTCGGGCCTCTCCATTCTTCCTCCATACTCGGGGTCCTTGGTCCTCTCCATTCTTCCTCCATACTCGGGGTCCTTGGGCCCTCCATTCTTCCTCCATACTCGGGGTCCTTGGGCCTCTCCATTCTTCCTCCATACTCGGGGTCCTTGGGCCTCTCCATTCTTCCTCTATACTCGGGGTCCTTGTGCCTCTCCATTCTTCCTCCATACTCGGGGTCATTGGGCCTCTCCATTCTTCCTCCATACTCGGGGTCCTTGTGTCTCTCCATTCTTCCTTCATACTCGGGGTCCTTGGGCCTCTCCATTATTCCTCCATACTCGGGGTCCTTAGGCCTCTCCATTCTTCCTCCATACTCGGGGTCCTTGGTTTCCAAATGAGATGCAAAAGTTGCTCTCATCAGAAAAGAGGACTTTGGACCACTGAGCAACAGACCAGGTCTGTTTTTCTTTAGCCCAGGTAAGACGCTTCTGACAATGTTTGTTGTTCAAGAGCGTCTTGACAAGAGGAATACGACATTTGAAGCCCATGTCAGGATCCGTCTGTGTGTGGTGGCTCTTGATGCACTGACTCCAGCCTCAGTCCACTCCTTGTGAAAGTCCCCAACACTTTTGAATGGCCTTTTCCTGACAATCCTCTCCTGGCTGCTGTCATCCCTGCTGCTTGTGCACCTTTTTCTTACACACTTTTCCCTTCCACATAACTTTTTCTATTAATGTGCTTTGATACAGCACTTTGGGAACATCCAACTTCTTTTGCAATTCCTTTTGAGTCTTTCCCTCCTTATGGAGGGTGTCAGTGATGGTGTCAGGTCAGCAGTCTTTCCCATGATTGTGATTCCTACTGAACCAGACTGAGAGACCATTTAAAGGCTCAGGAACCCTTTGCAGGTGTCATGGCTTAATTAGCTGATTAGAGTGGGACATTTTGAGCCAAGAATATTCCACCTTTTCACAATATTCTCATTTTCTGAGATTGTGGATTTGGGGTTTTCATGAGCTGTAAGTCATAATCATCACAATGATGACAAATCACAGCTTGAACTATCTTGCTTTGCATGTAATGAGTCTAATTCATATATTAGTTTCACCTTTTAAGTTGCATTACTGAAATAAATGAACTTTTGCACCATATTCTAATTTTTTGAGTTTCACCTGTATATTGTAGTGATGTGATAATTTCTTTGCCCATTTCCAGTGTATACTTCTGTTGTGCAGTGTTTGCCCTTTTCCAATATGACTGCTATGTTCTCTGGGCACAGAGGATGAGGTCATCAGAGAGAGCACTTGTTTGAAAAAGAGAGGTGTGTGGATTTCCTGCAGAGAAAGAGCTCAGACTGTAGGGCTCATGTACACTGCGGCTGATAAACTAACATTTAGGAGGTGTTCAGCGGTTTTTTTTTCAGCAGCCCCTGAACTCTCCCTAATGTTTTCCTATGTGTCCATATACACATCTTCATTTATAGTCTTTTACAGGCATTTGAGCTTACAGTCTTTTTTTTTGAACGCAGAAAACTTGCTTTCAGCAGTTGATTTTATCAGTGTTCCAAACGCAAAACATGGCAAATCGCATTTATAAGCGTTTGCATTTGAAAATGTATTAACTCTTCCAGTTCCCAATGCTGTCCAGAGCCTTTTTCATCATGAAAATGCATGTAAAGCATTTTCAAGGTACTCAGATGGACAAAACACTGAACACAGGATGTTCCTACCAAGCTTGTCACACATTGTAATGACCATTCACACCTCAGGCCTCTCCCACCCTGGAAGAAACAAAAGATATGTTAATGACCAATTCACACCTCAGACCTCTCCCACCCTGGAAAACAAAAGATGTGTTAATGACCATTCACACTTCTAATTCCTCATGAAGACCCCCTGCATGTGACCTTAATGACTCCCTCCTCCAGACACCTTTCCCACCCTTGGAAACAAAAAAAATGTTTAATGAGCAACTCACACCTAAGCTAATCTCAACACATACTGCTGTCTCTGCTTCTACTCTCTGTATTTCTCTGAAACAGTCTGAAATAGTTAATAATTTATCACTTTTCAGTGAATTCTGGGCATTTGGGAGGTTCTCCTGTGCTTATCTTTAAAAAACCCTTCTAAACGCAAATGCACATAAACGCACATAAACTGCGGTATGCAAACGCAGAAGCTACACAGATGTTTTTTAACCTATGTTTTCAGCAGTCAGTTTCCATCGTTCATAAGTGTCCCAGTTTGTACATGGAGCCTAAGTGTTGCAACCTCCCTCACTGAGACATGCAAAAAAGACTGTTAATGCTTTAATGTTCCTTTGGAAGATACTTTATGTTGGATGGTTCACTGAATGTTATTTCTTCAATACATGGACTTTCATATACAATGCTGTGTTGGTTACTGTCTATGTGGATGATACATTTCTCAGTTGGGATTTCACTTGCTATCCACAAGCCCCAATTGAGTGGAGGCACTACAGCTTATTAGAGATCTTGTCCTGATCACACAGATTATAAGGATTCTGTTCCTAAATACTATACAGGTGGCGACATCATACCCAGTAGCCACAAAGAGTGTAAAGATAGCGCTACATTTGGAGGCACTGCTGAGACAATATATCTTGGATCAGAACATTAAGGAACCAGTACGACCATGTCACTGTTAATCAACAGAAAATGTGAGGCAGTGGGCCCTGGAGGGGACTGCCACCTGAAAGGACATTTGCTATTTCATATGTGCCTATCACTGTGAGTTCCCACAAACTGCAGGAGGCACTAAAAGCAAAATGAAACCTTGCAGTATGCCACTCTTGTGGATAAAGAGAAGAAGATAAGAGTTTTGAACTGTATACCCATCTCTGTCTCAGTGAGCTGGATTTAAATCCAGTTAAAGGTCCCTTTTGCATAAATCCAAAGGGGGCTGAAGCAATTGGTTTGTGCTGTAGTATTTCCAGTGATTTCACTCCAGTAAGGCGAAAGTTACCAGCCCTGCCTGTAAATTGTGAACCATTGAATACAACGGCTTCATCAGGAGAGATTGGAATGTTGCCTGCTACAGCCACTAAGCAAGAAATATTGAGCATCTGCTGCTAAGTCACTGAAGTCATTGCTCAGAATATACATGCTGATTCTTACCGCAAATTAAAGGCTTTTTCAGGAGTGCTACCTGTCCCTGCTGGTGAAGAAAGCTTTGAAGTGTCGAAAGATTTTGCACAAGTAATAGAGGAATTGACCTGCTCAGAGGAAAAGAAAAAACAGCATATCATGGAAAACTGAAGACCATCAGCATCCATTATTGTCAGAGCTTACAAGGACACACATGTGAGTACCAGTGCCCAAGAATATATTGATATTTTGACAGATGCTTACGGACGGCACCGTGACCCCGGATCAGATGCTTGCTGATTGTAAACAGACAAAGCATAAAGAGGGAGAGGATGTTTCTGTGTTTGTGAGGAGGCTAGAAGTGCTTCTAGGAAGATTGCTCACTGAAAAGGTCATCTCTCCTACAGACGTTGAGAGATGAATTAAAGACTGCTCAAATCATAAAGGGGTTATTGCTGCATCACCCAATGTCACCAGTCCTAAGAGTTGTTTTGAGAAAGAGAAACTTTACTTTTACTGAGACTATGGCTGAAGTAAAGAAACAGCAAAGTTCATCAGAGTTCTTCGGGTGAGCACAAAAATTAGACTGTTGCTAAAAACAAAAAGTTGGTAGACTTCCACAGCCTAGAGCTCTATCTGCTGATAAAACCTCCAGTGATAAGCCTCTCTTCCACATTAAATGTTTCCGCTGTGGACAAGCAGGTCACACAGTTCGTCAGTGTCCATTGCTTGCTGATCGTTCTGAAATTCACGGTAAAGCTGGACAAATGTATAAAAGAAAACAGGGAAAATCAAGAAAACAAATGTTCAATAAACTGCCTGGAGTAGGCCGCAGATGTACTTTCCATTTGTTTGTTAATGATATACCCACTACTGCTCTGTTTGACGCTGGCTCTCAGCTGACTATTATCTACAGACCTTTCTATCAGCAACACTTAAGCCATCTCCCTTTGAAACCTATGGACACTATGCTATTTATGGTGTGGGAGAAAATCCTGTCTTTATGAATGGTTGTCTAGAAGTTGAGTTATCGCATTCCTGGTGTGACAGCTGATGAGGATCCCCCACTTAAAGTCATTGCCTATGTGAGCCCTTCACCTGGGAGTAATGAGTATGCTCCTATGATTGTGGGTTTCAATGTTGAAAACCGTTGAGGCTGCTTTCATAAGGTTTCTTCAGCCACAACAGGGGAACTACTCCTCTACCTTCACTGCCTGTTGCTCCAGAACTTCAAAATATCTGCCAAACTTTTACTCCTGATCTTCCTGGAGGATGTGTGGGGAATCCATGCAGGTTTATGTTGAAGTTTCACCGGGTGCAAATGGTAGCTTTTTCCTGCTAGAGACTGATCCAAAAGAGGCTGCAAAGAATGGCTGGGAGATAGTACCGGCAGAAAGGAAAAGACTAGCGTTTAAAATGTCCAAGAATGGATGTTGTTACTGTTTGGAATGTTACCAAATACCCAGTTATAATACCAGCCTGGCAGGAGGTAGCCTATTGTTTACCCAGTGGAAACCATTAGCTCTTACTCTGCCAAGGTCGAGGAGAAAGAAACCACATTAGACTTTCACCTTAATGATGCTGATAGTCCTGCAGAGCACAAACAAGCACTAGAAGAGCAGCTAATGGAGAATACAATGATGTTTTCTCTACTGATGACATGGATGTCGGGTGTACTAAAAGTATTCAACACATTATTCGCCTAACAGATAGCACCTCCTTTAGAGAAAGATCCAGGCGCTTACCTCCTAAAGATCTGGATGATGTTCGAGAGTGCTTGTACAAAATGAAAGATCAAAACATCATTCTTGAGTCTAAAAGCCCGTATGCATTCCAATAGTGGTGGTCAGAAAGAAAAATGGTTGAGTGCGAATATGTGTTGATTACAGGACTCTAAATTGGCAAATGGTCCCAGATCAATACATGCTACCTCTCAATGAGGAAGGTCTTGACGCCCTGCAAGGCAGCAAATGGTTCACAGTAATGGACTTAAGACATGGGTATTACCAAGTATCAATGAGTGAGGAAAAGCTCAAGAAAAGACAGCTTTTATTTGCCCCCCTGGGGTTTTTCCAGTTTGCTCAAATGCCTCAGGGAATTAGTGGTGCACCTGCAACATTCCAGCATCTAATAGATCGGACATTGGGAGACCTTTGTCCCACTCAATGTATTGTCTACCTAGATGACATAATTGTTTTTGGCTCCACCTTGGAGGAGCATGATCAGAGACTCTCCCTGGACAAATGTAAGTTTGCCCGTTCTTCAGTAAACTTTGTGGGCCACATCGTATCTGCAGAAGGGGGGTAGCAACTGATCCTACTACAGTAGAGGATGTGATAACTTGGCCCCATCCCACAAATCTGACAGAACTGAGGTCCTTCTTGGGCTTTTGTGACTATTATCGCCGCTTCACTAGAGACTATTCCAAGACTGCACGGCCTCGCTCAATGACATGCTTAAAGAAACACCTGTCATTGACACAACCAGCAAAACTCCTTTCAGTGAGAGGTGGAATTCTGCTTGTGAGGGAGCTTTTCTACAGCTTAAGAAAAGCCTTACAGAAGCACCAGTGTTGGCTTATGTAGACCCACAAAGCCATACATTCTGCATGTAGATTCCAGCTACGATGGGTTAGGAGGAGTTCTCCATCAGGAGTACCCAGGAGGACTAAGGCCTGTTTCTTCTATCAGTCGCAGTCTAAGCCCAGCAGAAAAAAACTATCCTATCCTGTTCATTAAACTGGAATTTCTTGCCCTGAAGTGGGCTATTTTGAAAAGCTGCATGATTACTTGTATGGGGCTCAGTTTGAGATGAGAGCTGACAATAACCCCTCACTTATGTTTTGACTACAGTGAGGCTTAATGCCACTGGTCATAGGTGGCTTGCTGCCTTGTCTAATTACCAATTCACTCTCAAGTACAAGCCAGGACCCAAAAATATTGGGACGGATGCTCTCTCCAGGCATCCTGGATTGCCAATGAACTTAGAAGAAAGTGAATGGGAGGAAGTACCTGGGCCTCCTGTGGCTGCCTACTGTGCTACAGCTTGCTGACAAGGAGACCATATTGTTTTTCTCGGACTTACAAGCTATTGACTCATTGGGAGCTGGGGAATAGTGTATCCCAAACATGTATTGCTGCCCCACCGCTCTAGGGGTACAAGAAAACATCCAGCTGCAAAAGAAAGAGATATGATTCTTCTACAAAAAGAGGGATCCACTAATCAGACATGTTAGAGAGTCTGTTTTCTGCAAAGATCCTAATTACCTGAGAAAAACCCTACCTGAGCAGAGTACCTACTATCTTAAGAATGGGATGAACTCAAAATAATCAATGGACTTTTGTATAGGATACATTTTGTTCTATGATCACCCGTCCTGGAAGGAGACAGCTAGTGCTCCCTCAAGTCTAAAGAAAATCTGTTTTGAGAAGTTTGCATGACCCAACATGGGGCATCTAGAAGTTGAAAAAACATATGGATTAATCCAAGACCGTTTCTTTTTGGCCACAAATGAGGGAAGCTGTTGTGGACTACTGCCGCCGTTGTGTGAGATGTCTGCAACGGAAAACTTTGCCTACTTGAGCTGCTCCTATGAAACACTTGAAAAGTTCTGGTCCAATGGATTTAGTGTACATGGACTTTTTGTGTAATGATAATGACAGCAGTGGTTGTGGGAAATGTTTTGATTGTGACTGATCACTACACTCGATATGCTCAAGCCTATCCCACCAAAGATCAAAAAGCAGTAACTGTGGCCAAAGTGTTGTGGGAGAAGTTTTTAG